GGGGCCGCCACCGGGAAAGCCCTGGTTCTGGTGACGTTCAGCCTGGCTTCTTTCGGACCAGGGAGGGTCAAGGCGATGTTGCGACCCTGACCGTAGTGCTCGCTGGGGCACATACGGGGAGAGGTGGTCCCTCAAGTAGGCAGGCCCCTGACCATTTAGGGCTTTAAAGGTTAGCACCAGCACCTTGAACCGAATCCGGTAGGCTATAGGCAGCCAGGCTGGATGTGGTCCCGTAGAGAGAGACCCAACAACAGCCTGGCCGCGGCATTCTGCACTAGCTACAGTCTCCAGATCTGGGACGAGGGCAGCCCCATGTAGAGAGCGTTGCAGTAGTCTGATTCCGACATCTTGTTAATATCTTCTTAATATTGGATGTGGCCCTGAGGCTGCGGTCACATGAGAGCAGTTTGAGCCGATACCGTTGCAGTACCTTTGCGGATTTAAAGAGCACGATCAGACAGCAACATTTGGCTTCACTGACTGGTTCCACTTTCCAAGGCTTGGGTTCAGATAGACCAGGGGTGTCGAACTCATTTGTTATGAGGGCCGGACCTGACATAAATGAGGCCTTGCTGGGACAGGCCATGTGTGTCATGAAATGTAATGCCAGGCAGCAGAGATTTAAGCTTTATAAAGGACATAAACTTTATAAAGATAAGCATTAGATAAGCCTATGGAGCAGAGGTCCATCAGTGGCTATTAGCCACAAGGTATAGATAGGGACTCTGGGGCAAGGGATGCTCTGTCTTCTTGCTGCTTGGGGGGGGTCAACAGTGGGAGGGCTTCTAATGTCCTGGCCCCACTGGTGGACCTCCTGATGGTACCTGGTATTTCTGGCCACTGTGTGATACAGAGTGTTGGACTGGAGGGGCCTTTGGCCTGATCCAACATGGGCGTCTCTTATGTTCTTATGTTGACACAAAAACAAAGGGTTTTTTTTTTAAACTTAAAATAAAAACATGCTTAAAACATTAGCACTCCTGCAATATCTTGTTTATTTAACAGTGCCTGATAACTGACACCGCTTGCTCTGAATCACTGCATCAAAATGTCTGTGCTGTTGCAATCTCGAGTATGCTGTTCAGGTGTGTATCTGTAAGGTGCAAACCGACGACGAGGCGGCAGCAGCAGAACTGGAAGAAGCAGCAGAAGACAGCCAGTTCCACTGCGGGCCTGATGGAAGCCCTCCGGGGGCCTGATTCGGCCCCCGGGCCACATGTTTTTGACACCCCTGGTTTAGAGCATTCTGAACAGCAGTGAAGAACTATGCAGTTCTCCCATTCATCCTTTTAATGTGAACGACGGGTGACGTACGTGAAAGAGATCTGTAATCCGAACCGTGTAGAATTGCCTGTTATCGTAAGAGCACAAAGGTGACCCCCAACGACTGGGCCAGAAGCCAAGGCGCGCCCTGCGACTAGCGCCGTGAGCATGAAGCAACTCTTACAGGCATCCTCCACACCCTCAAACAAACCACTTCAGAGACAAAAAGATACCTGAAAAGCTGTTTGATCGGGACAGGAGGCGGTTCTGATAGGGGAGAGGGAGTCAACGAACAGTGCTGGTTTCCTTTGTGTGGGATTCAAGTGCAGCAATGGAACAGTTGTTTCCAGATGCACTGTTACCAGCTGAACAGGGGTTGGGGCTAAGCTTGCGTACTGGCAGTACAATTTGGAGGGAACTCAGTCGCACTTCACTACCCAACTTAAGAGCCAGTTCGGTGTGGCGGTTAGGAGCGCGGACTCTAAACTGGGAGAACCGGCTTTGACGCCCCAACTCCTCCACATGCAGCGGCTGGCGTGACCTTGGGTCAGTCACAAGTTCTCTCAGAGCTGTTCTCTCACGGGCAGTTCTCGAAAGAGCTCTCTCAGCCCCACCTACCTCACGGGCAAGTGATGCTCTGTCATCTTGGTGCTTGGGGGGGGTCAACTGTGGGAGGGCTTCTAGTGTCCTGGCCCCACTGCTGGACCTCTGATGGCACTGGTATTTCTGGCCACTGTGTGACACAGAGTGTTGGACTGGAGGGGCCTTTGGCCTGATCCAACATTGGCGTCTCTTATGTTCTTATGTACCTCTCAGGGTGTCTGTTGTGGGGAAGAAAAAGGAGATTGTAAGCCACTCAGAGACTCCTTCAGGTAGTGAAGGGCAGGTTTTAAATCCAATCTCTTCTTCTTAAGAGCACCAAACCAGCCTGCTTCAATCCGCTTATGCTGTATATTGTACTAACTGTATAGTGGGTTATGGGTTGGACCAGCGGACTGTGCTGGCTCTTTCTGAAGAGCATATGGCGTATGCCTGGGATACTGTCCAGTTCAAAGTTTATTGCATGTAGCCAGTGGCCATCACAATATAAAAGATAAAAAACAGTACAAAGAGTGGCAATACCTTTAAAAGAAAACTAAAATAGAGCAAAAAGGTTACTATTTCGATGCCTGATGTGGATTTTAAACGGCGCTTTATTTTTATCGCCATCGAATGAATGTTTTATATTGACGTCTATGGTTTTAAATGATGTATTTTATTCTATCACTGTGAAATGTATACTGCTTATCAGTTTTTGGAAGCCGCCCAGAGCCCGCCTGGCGGGGAGGGCGGGGTAAAAGTGAAATAAATAAATAAAGTTGTTAGGACTGGGTGAAGAAATTTGATTCTGGGGCCAGTATGCAGAGGGCATTCTAAAATGTAATTCTGGGATACTGTTAAATTATTATCCACCATCTTGGTTTTACATCTGAATCTAAATTTGTGCTATTGGATTGTATTTATTGAATTGATGTGTCACTCTGTTATCGTTTTATTGGCACATCGTCACCCGCGCTGAGAAATCCCGTGAAATAAATAAAAGAACATGATTAAACACCCATTGCTTCAGCAAGCTCATCACAATTCACATCTATTCCCCCCGACCCACAAAATGGTGTGTGTGTGTGTGTTTTCCTGAGATCAAGCAGGTGTTCTAAGAGCAGACACCAAATCCTGTCCCAGACTTTTACTCAGATAATGAAGTTGGATGCTACCACTCAATGTAATGTGGAGGGGTTTTTTCCCCTCCGGGGCACGGTGTTTTCCTTTGGCGCCAGGCTCTGCACTTAACGGAGCGGCAGAAAGCAAGCCGTCTGTGCCGCGGGACTTTTACACGTGCAACCCCCACCTCGTTAAATAGGTCAGTCCACAGTCTAAGCCAGAAGTCCTGAGTTCAGATCTTACACCTCAACCACAAACCCTGCTTGCCGGGCAGCCTTAGACAAACGGTTACCCCCTCCGTCTCCGGTCTATAGCATGGGGAAAGGCTGAGCCAACACGGGTTTACGCACTTAAAACTAAAAAATGCAAAACAAATGCTAGGCGTTTTTAAAAAAAATGTGTACGAGACCTTTATTGCTTTTGTTCCACAGCAAGGTTTTGCCATCCTGGTTCCTTTGGCGTTATTCCCCCCCCCCCAAGTAAAAGCAGGGACCAGACGAACTACGCATGGGAGGGGGGTGGAGTCAGGGACCCTGCAGTCGAGGGAGATCCAGGCATTCAGAGAACAAGAGTCCACTCCGAGCCACAAAGAGAAGCTTTTAATGTGAACCAGACAGGCAACAGAAACAGCATTTTACTCACATCTTTAGACCAAAACGCATTGAAAGCAAAAGGGAAAGAACGAAGAAAAGGAATCCAATGCCCAAATCCCACTGAGGGATGGGTACCTTACTACTATGCGCGGCTCACGTGACCAGTCCTTGCTGGTCTCCTTGACTGGGCTACAGCCTTTCTGAAAGCAGGAGACGCGCCCAGCCGTTGCTCGATCCCCGCAAGCTGTGTGAGAGAAGACGTAGGGCCAAATTGGAGCTGGGACCGATGCCCCCGGGACCAAATGCATCTGGCTGGGAATTTCTCGCAAAGCTGGCAGCCGCCCGCTTTTGGAAAACAAAAAAGGCCTAGGGAACGCCCCCCTCGCTGCGGCTGAATCATGGTCGAATGCGACAGTGATGGGGGGGGGGGGGAAGGAAATTCTATATGAGAGTTAAGATGAACATACCAAGAGTTAACTTGTGCAAAGCAGCAGATGACAGCCCCCCCCCCCCCAACAAGGATGTCACGTGAACAGAATGTTTCCCCATACAAGATGAAATACCCCCAGGGAAAGTCAAAAGTGAACATGCCCCGGACAGAGTCCCACTGCAGACCTAGCTTCAAAACCCCACGCAGTCTGATATCACCCCTCGGCGTGTTGACTAGGGAGGGAAGCGGCCGACCGACCGAATGAAAGGTAGCCTTAAGTCGTATTGTGACTAGAAGATGGCTAGGCGTCACAAGCGGGTGCCAAGCGGAGTCACCTGCCGCCAGAATTGTACATTTAGGCGCGGGGACCCTCGGCCTACCCTGTGTCCACATACATGCGCCGGATTTTGGCAATGATACTCAAAAAGGGGTGGGACCCCTTGCGCGACGTGACGAGCGCTCTCAATGGAACTGCTTAAGGCCCCACTTTGGAGAATGCTCCAAGGGTATCGCAACGGCAGGAAGTGCGATTCACCTGAATTACAACCCTCTCGAGTAACACGCTTTCATGCGGAGTCTTCAGTTTTGGACCCTTAAGCCAGCTTCAGGGGTGGTGGTTCAGAAGTGTATGAAGGCCAAGCTATAAAAGCAGACACTGATGAAGTGGTTACGAAGAGGGGGGGGTAGAGAAATCTAAGAATCAATATTCAATTAATTGGATGCGGGACTACCTCCCTGGGCCTCAATTAATATACGAGTTGCCCCGAGAAACATTTTTTCTCTTTGAGGGGGGAGGGAAAAATAGCTGAGTCGGGACAGCTTATCAGATATTGACCGGTCTTGGCTTGTCTACATTTAGGAGTTAAATACAGGAAATATAATACGGACTTGCCAAACTCGGAGAGGGCAGAGAAAGCGCCAGGGCTGGGGTCCTTTAGCATTTCATGAGCTCTGCCTGCAACAGAAAGGCATTAAAATAAGGCTGGGGGGGGGGGCAGGGGGGGTCGGGCGGTCTGTATATAGGAAGCTATGACGCACACACCCCCCCCACGATTAGCTTCCAGGAGCCTCATTTGCTTGCATCACCTATCTGCATTGAAGACTGGTTGCTGTTAACTGTTCATTCCTTTAAAAAAAAAAAAAGTCTTGGTCAATGGTGAAGAACTGAAGAACTGTTACGATACCAGCTCTGCCCCGCCTGCAGAAACAATAAAAATTGAGAACTACAAAAGATGTGCTGTATTCCGTTAATATAAATGGGACATTTCTGACTGCGTCAAAACATTTCTCGAGGACTATATACAGTACGGCAAAGGGGAGGCCTTCCGCTGGAGTTCAGATCTCTCCGGCTTCCCTCTCCTCCGACCTCTTGGAGCGGGATTTGCCGTTGGTGCTGTCGTGCCTTCTTTCGGAGGAGCTCTTCTCTTTCTTCTCCCTCTCCCGCGATTTCTCCCGCGAGGACTGGTCTCGAGAGGATCTGGAGCACAAACCAAACCATGCTGTAAAAACGCCTCTGCGACGGGAAGGGTCGGAGCAGGGTGCGGGAACGTTAACCGGGGAAAGGTCAACTGCGAACTTACCCTGCCCGTTCTCCTTCCTGTACCCTACGCGGGAGGGCTAGCCCAGGTTGGGTGGGGGGGGAAGCATCTACCTGGTCTGGGAGGCAAGGAAGGTGAAAGATCTAACCCTCGCAGAACTGAAGGCCAAGACCCACAAGGCTGTGTTCTCCTGCTCACCTTTCTGCACAGTGTCCAGAACCAAGGGGCTACCGCGCCCTCCTTTTGAGCTCATCGCCTTCCCCTCTTGGCACAGATTACAACTACCCGACATGCCTATTCACCCCCTGGCATTAGTTTATCAGCTTCCCAAGTTTGGTGTCGTGGTTAAGTGCGCGGACTCTAATCTGGGAGAACCGGCTTTGACTCCCCGCTCCTCCACGTGCAGCTGCTGGTGTGACCTTGGGTCAGTCACAAGTTCTCCCAGAGCTGTTCTCTCAGGAGCAGTCCTCGAAAGAGCTCTCTCAGCCCCACCTACCTTGCAGGGGATCTGTTGTGGGGAGGGGGAGGGAAAGGAGTTTGTCAGCCGCTCTGAGACACCTTCGGGTAGTGAAGGGCGGGGTATAAATCCAATCTCCTCCTCCTCTTCTTCTTCAAGGGTTGGGGGTTCTTTTTTAATGCAAAATTGCCCCAGTTAACATGACATCCACCGAGCCATCCTGCTAGTAAGGCGCGGGTGGCCACGGGTGGGCAAGAAATCAACTGCCCCTGGATCGGAGAGGCCGAAGGGACTACGTGGCGTATAGAGTACCCAGTCACTGTGCAGAATTCATGGGGTGGGGGAGAAGTTCCCTCCTGAGCTAAGGTTCCCTGCATGAGGAAGCCTGAATCATCCCCTAAGGCAAAACCAAGGCTGGAACTGGGAAAGGGGAGCCCGCACGGCTCTCTCCAGGCTGGGCTGATCGAACCCCTCACTCACCGACACAAAAGAGTGAACTGCCTGCAACATTGTAGAAGTGCCTAGCAATGCTCCCTCGGACCCATGGAGTCCTGTGAGCAGAAATTCTACTTTGTGGGTTACCGCCGTTAAAGTTGTAAGCGGGTGATTTGGCTGCTGCATCAATTAGTCAGCTCTGGAACCATCTTTCCTGAGCGAAGACAAAAAGGTGGGAGCCGGAGGCTGCAAAACTGTGAGCTGGCTCACTCACTCAGCTTAGAGGGAACACTGGTGCACGCTATAAATCAGCTCTCAATGAATAATAATGCAAACCATGCCTGCTCAGAGTCAAGCCAGAGTTTGTCCGTGCCCAGCAGTCTCTGATCTACATCTACTCAGTGAGCGAGGCTCTTCACAAACCTTCAAAGAACTCCACCTACAGGCCAGCCACTGAAATGTCTAAGCCTGCTCTTATTTCGGTTTTGGCCTGCAGTTCATCCTATACCCAAACGTTTCCTCCCTTCAGCTGTTCTTGGCAGGGGCTGAACACTGCGAGGGCGGTGAACTGTGAGCTGGCTCACACTCACTCAGCTTAGAGGGAACACTGGTGCGCGGTACAAATCAGCTCACAATGAATAATAATGCAAACCATGCCTGTTCAGAGTCAAGCCAGAGTTTGCCAGTGCCTAGCAGCCTCTGATCTACATCTACTCAGTGAGCGAGGCTCTTCACAAACCTTCAGAGAACTCCACCTACAGGCCAGCCACTGAAGTGTCTAAGCCTGCTCTTATTTCTGTTTTGGCCTGCAGTTCATCCTATACCCAAACGTTTCCTCCCTTCAGCTGTTCTTGGCAGGGGCTGAACACTGCGAGGGCGGTGTGAAAAGCAGACCAGGAAGGAGAAGAGACTGGATTTATACCCCGCCCTTCACTACCCGAAGGAGTCTCCGAGCGGCTTGCGATCTCCTTCCCTTCCACTCCCCACAGCAGACCCCCTGTGAGGCAGGTGGGGCTGAAAGAGCTCTCTTGGGAACTGCGCTTGACAGAACAGCTCTGAGAGAGAGCGTGACTGACCCAAGGTCACCCAGCTGGCTGCATGTGAAGGAGTGGGGAATCAAAGCCGGTTCCTTCCAGATTTACGAGTCCACACTCCTAACCGTGACACCAAACTAGGACTGTGGTCCTAACCACCGGAACCTGCTTGGGGACTGTAGCAAAGAATGCCGTATTCAGCACTGTGATCTTACGGCACAGCAGACTAGAGTGATGGCCCTGGATGGGGAATGCCCAAGTAGATTAACCTAAGAAGTTTCCTGGGGGGCTTGGAGCCACTGTGTACTATTTCACAAAGCTCGGAGCGACTCCCAGGGCTCTCAGGGGGCCCTAGACACTCTCTGGAATAATCGCAGGCACACATACGTGGAACGCCCTCACCTGGATGGCTTAGGCTAGTCTGATCTCGTTAGTTCTCAGATTTACGAGTCCACACTCCTAACCGTGACACCAAACTAGGACTGTGGTCCTAACCGCCGGAACCTGCTTGGGGACTGTACTTGGGGACTGTAGCAAAGAATGCCGTATTCAGCACTGTGATCTTACGGCACAGCAGACTAGAGGGATGGCCCTGGATGTGGAAAACCCAAGTAGATTAACCTAAGAAGTTTCCCGGGGGGCTTGGGGCCACTGTGTACTACTTCACAACCTCGGAGCGACTCCCAGGGCTCTCAGGGGGCCGTAGACACTCTCTGGAATAATCGCAGGCACGCATACGTGGAACGCCCTCACCTGGATGGCTTAGGCTAGTCTGATCTCATTAGTTCTCGGAAGCTAAGCAGGGTCGGCCCTGGTTAGTACTTGGATGGGAGACCACCAAGGAAGTCCTGGGTCCCTATGTAGAGGCAGGCCATGGCCAGTCACCTCTGAACATCTCTCACCCTAAAAACCCCACGGAGTTGCCAGAAGTTGGGTGCGACTGGACGGCCTATTCTGCAGCTCCCAGCCACGAGACGTATTAAATATAGTTTACGTTTAATGGAATTCCACATACAAAGCAGACCTTTAGGTCAACTAAAAATCGACCCACTAAAGGCAGTACACTGTGGCTTCGGATGTGCTTATTGGCCATTAATATAAGAAAGACTATCAGCAACTGTTTGTACGAAATTGGCTTTATTTTACAACAGGTGCCTCAAAGGAAAAAAAAGAAGATTATCAGACTGAAACAAACAAACAAACAAAAAAGACTTATTCAAGAAAAAAGCTTTAAATATTAACAATGCTTTAATTGTTTTGGAACGTTAAAGCTAACACACTATCAAGTGCTAACATCTGAACGGTTTAACTGGACACGAGGCAAAGGCAGAAGGCGGGAACCATTCCATATCCTCTGACGGATGATGGATCTCCTCTTTCAGCCACAGCGCTCTCACGGTGTGGACTTTCACACCTGCCTAAAAACTGGAATACGTCTTCCTACAACTATTGCCATTTCTAAAGAGTCAACTAAGACGGCCCTTTGGGAGAAGTACAAGTTACATTTTCTCCTTCTCTTGACACCTTCCAATCCCACCCCCCCCAAAAAAATAACTGAAGCAGTTCCTATCCCTGGGAACACTTTGAGGTGGGCCAGGGTGTGCTCATTTAAGTCTTCAAAACTATCCCCTTACCCTCTCTTCAGCAATTACTTGGTCTGCCTCGTTCCCTAACTGCCCAAACCTCTTTTCATTATTGCTCATGTCCAAGGCGGATTCGAAACAGATTTCGTCTCTCAGCCATGAGCCCCTGGTTTTTAACACCCCCCTCCCTGGCGTACAATACTCACTTCACCCCAGAGAAGAGGGGAGTAAAAGCCATTCCTCACGGCTGATCTGGGTGGCCTTTGGAAACAAAACGAGGCTACCGACACTGCTTCTCTGAAGCGGCTGCCGCTTCCAGTGTGGCAGATGCAGCTGCGTGGAGGGGCAAACCGGCTCAACGTGCTTGCGTAGAGGGGACCGCCGGATGCCTATTAAGCTTTGCAGCAGAACTAAAAAGACGGGTTTGTTTGAAACCGGCGGAATGGAACGGCTACGCCTCAGAAGAGACGCCCAGCCGTTCCTGTTGCACTTGCGACCGCAGAATCCCTACTTCTGTCCCAGCTCACCCCCAAATCTTAGAGGAGTGAGGAGGGAGACGAAGAAAGGTGCCACTGCGCCAGGTAGCCAGTTCCTTTGCACTTGAGGATCCGCCTCGTGCATCGGGCCTCGCTTGTACCGGAAACGTTCTGCGCCCGTCTTTAACGCTGTGCAAACTCAAAGAGGTCCACCTGAGGCCGTTCTACTAGCAACCGCCTTGCCTCAGAGCAGAGGCCAGGTGTGGGAAGGGGAAGAGAGGGGGACGTGAGACTGGCAGGTCTCTCCTATGATGCCGTCCACGAGCCCCAGACGGCTTTTGGAGCTTGTGGGGGAAATCTACAGGTCCCACATCAATTGCTCTGGCTGATTTGTAAGATTTAATCTGGCTCTTCACACACACGTGTGCACCCCCCCACCCACCCACCGTTTGCCAACTTGGGAACCCACCCTGGTTTCTTCCGGCTCTGAATTGTGAGGCGGGTGTCATTTCTCATGGCCGAGCCGAAAGCCCCCCCCGCCCCCCCCACGGGAAAGCCGTTCAGAAAGGGCTCTAGGCATACTTGTGCTTCGCGCTCCTGTCCCTGGATCCCCGCCGGTGGCCCCGGCTGTGGCTGCCGGAACGGCTGCGGTGGCGCCGATGCCTCTCCCGCTCGCGGGACTTGGAGCGGGACTTCCGCTTCTCCCGGGAAGTGGACCTGGAGCGCCTTCGCCTCCGCTCTCGGGATCGAGACCTGCCGGGCACAGAAACACAACAAACAAACCGGCTGAAACCCAGCGATGCCATGGCGGTGGCGGCGGCTGTTTTCCACACAGGTGCTTCTATCAGGCAGGGGTGGTTTCATCCGCCGTTGGTCCTACATAGCTCTGGAACTACCTCTCGCTATGATCTGCTGAGAGCTGCCACCTAACAGTCCCCTCCCCGGTGGCAGGACAAACGGCAAGAGCACCACCTGCTCTTGGGGTCTGACAGAAGGACAAGCCCAAGGCTCCTTTCACGTCTATGTTCTTGTCTCTCAGTGACACCGTCAAGAAATCAGATCAGAGTCTGGTCGCATCTTTAGAGGCCAACAAGAGTTACAGGCAGGCCGTAGCTATGGCGGGGCATTTCGGGGATCGCCCCCTCAAATGGGAGGCATGCCCCCCCCACAACAGCTCCTGTGCCATTAAAAGGGCCCTCTAGCTGATCGACGGACCACTTCGCCCGCCGATCAGCTGGAGGGCCCTTTAAATCCTGCAGCCACCCCCTCCCTCCCCTCCTCCAAGATTTAAAGGGCACTCCAGCTGATCCACGGGCCCTTTAAATCTTGCAGGAGAGGAGAGAGAGGGTTGGCTGCCAGCTGCACGCCTTCCCTGAACTCTTGAGTTTTGGCATGGGCAGCCCCCGCTTGAAAAACAGCATTTAAAGGGTTCACTTTAAATGCTGTTTGATTTTTAAACATTTTCCTTGACGTATAGTGTAACATTTTCTATAGTATAACACATGAACTTATATAACATTAAAACGACATAAACCTGACGTTCTATAAGACGCTAGTAGAAAGCAAAACCCTTATATTTCTGAGGCAAAGCAAATGTTCGGGGTTGACGTGCAGTAATATATTCAAAAAACACAAACACAAGATTCCATCCTTGTCCCGATGGAGGGCAAAGCTATGGGACCTGATTACATCCGACAAAATAGCTGTGCAATTGCTTGCCAATGATAACGCTAAATGTGTAAGTAACTTTATGGAAAAGTGGTTTGTGGGTTTCCCCCCCGTGCTCTTCGAGTAGAAATGGGAGATTGGAGTCCTTTTATCCTAGTCAGATGGTGGGAGGGGGTGTTGTAAATAGGGTTCCCAAATACCTACCTAGGATCCGTTGGGGGACACATGCTTCCCCGCCAGGAGATTCTTGCTTGGAACACAGGCGCTGCACTATTCCGTCGCCCAGACGTGACGTAGGCACGTAGCTGGGTGACGCTCTGGTAATGGGACTGGAAACTCGATGGTACCGACGCATGCGGCAGAACAAACTGCGCCACCCGAGTGTGCAGCGGTACGATCACGCTGCTGGATCCTCCCTAGTGTAACGACCCCATCCGAATACAAGACTGATTCAGCGGGGAGAACATGCGGCAGAACAAACTGCACCACCCGAGTGTGCAGCAGTACGATCACGCTGCTGGATCCTCCCTAATGTAACAACCCCTTCCGAATACAAGACTGATTCAGCGGGGAGAGGTCCTTGCGGTCTGAAACAGGCCAGGAGAATACCACCCCCAATTCTGCTGTATCTGCAGGCCTCGGCAGGAAATTGCCAAGTGCCGGGCCACCGAGTGTCACAGACGCACGTGTGAAGCTGCCCAGAGTACACCCCGCCAATGCCGGCCAGGCCTGTCACCAGTGTTCCCTCTAAGCTGAGTTAGTGTGAGCTAGCTCACCGTTTTTTCTCCTCCGGCTCACAGGTTTTTGTCTTAGCTCGGGAAGGAGGGCTCCAGAGCAAATTGATTTATGCAGCTGCCAAATGGCTCACTCACAACTTTAATGCCAGTAGCTCACAAAGTGGAATTCTTGCTCACAAGGTTCCACAGCTTAGAGGGAGCCTTGCCCGTCACAATCACGTAAGCGCTCAAGTGGGGGGGGGGGGTCTGAAGGGGGGGGATTCTTCCTACGGCAGTTTTTGAATTTTAAACTAAACTATGCTACACAAACAGGACAGTCCTACACAAGAGTTATGGCAAGCTACTGTGAACATTCACATAACCTCCCCCCAAAACCAAGGATGACTCACCTCCTGCGATCTCTGTTCCTTGATCCAGACCTGGGGAAGAAGAGGAGTAGCGTTTGTTTCACAGGACACAGGCATTTACAACACAGTTAAGGGAAGGTTTCAGATTCAATTGGGATCATTTGCAGTAGCAAACTCAAAACTCACAATCAAAGGAGGTCACGCTGCCCGAGAAAACGTTTCTCGGCCCATCAGTGACAGAAAAAGCCACACGCCGTTGCTTCTAAAACCCTTTTTCTCATTCAGAGAATGTCTCAGAGTGTCTTCCAATCGCCTTCCCTTCCCCTCCCCACAACAGACACCCTGTGAGGTATGTATGTATGTATAGTTTATTACGGCATCAAGCCAGTAAATCAACAGAATCACACTGACATTAGAAAACGCTGCCTGTGAGGTAGGTGGGGCTGAGAGAGATCTGAGAGAGCAGTGACTGACCCTAGGTCACCCAGCTGGCTGCCATGTAGAGGAGTGGGGAATCAAACCCGGCTCTCCAGATTAGAGTCCGCGGCTCTTAACCACTACACCAAACTCACTTTCTGTGCCCCTGACAGGTGGGAAAGAGAGACCAGCAAACTCGCACTGCTCCATTTAAGGGGCAGGAAACGCAGGGTAAAGAACTGCAGTCTATTTGTCACCTTAGTATACTGCCTTTCTGCTGCTGAATGTTAAAACACAAAAAAAATAACGCCTACAAAACAGAAAAGAGAAAGAAGACGAAAAGGGTAGAGGAAAACGAGCAGATCCAAGCTCTTAAACTCTTAGCTGAGTGATATAACTGTCCCCGAAATGACTGCCAGATGGAAAGGACACTTGAAGAGTGTTTTCCAGGATGGACAGAGCCAAGCAACAGTTGGTTCCAGCCGGGCCGGTGAATTGGGCCTTGCCATTTTACCTCTCCCTTTGGCGCTGCCAGGTGGGATGGCTGCTGATGGAAGCCACTTGGGACTCGGGCGCTCTAGGTTTCTCTGCCCCGAGGTCAATGGCCACAGCAGGAACGTTTGCATCTTACGGCGCGAAACCCCCCCCCCCCCCCCAAACATGTGTAGTCGGCTCCTTCGGCACAAACCCCACTGGCCCGCACGCCACTTCCCGTCCACTCACCGCTGCCCCACGTGTTCGTCTCGCTCTCTTTCTTCTCTCCGTCTCATCCGATCCAGATTTCTCTTATCCTGTTTTTCTGCCACAGTTTTCTACGGTCCGAAAACACATCTTACTGAGTACGCGTACTGCTAGCGCCGCACAAGGTACCAAAGTGGCTAACAACTCAGTCATGGAACAGAGGGGGAAGGAATCAGGTCACGGACATTGGAAAGGGGAGTGCGTTTCATCAGATGCTTTACAAACAAAGCAATGTTCTAAGCCTGAAGGGCCGTCTCTCCCCATATACCGCCCGTGCACCAAATACAGTCTTTCTGGCTGCCTCCTTCTAGTTGTTCCCTCACCTAAGATGGCCTACTTGTCATCTAGTACAGCCGGCTCCTTTCCAATAGTGGCACCTTATGGAACAGGCTTCCTGACCAAACCGGGGGGGAGGCACGGTACAGCCAATTTATTTGGGAGGGATTTTTAACAGGGTTTAAACTGCACTTTCTTGGGAGGGCGGAGAACGGGGGTTTGCTTTATTGCATTTGTTTTAAAATTTCGGAAACGTAAGCTGGCTAAGAGCCACAAGGTGGGGTATAAACATTCTAATGAACACTCAAATAAGATCTGTCCTGTGGGCTAGCATACAGCCAGTGCAACAGTTGAGGGGGCTAGGACCAGAAAGTTCAAATACCCACTGAACTCACAACTGTAGGCATCTCATCCTCTCAGTCTAATCTCCCTTCCAAGGTTGATGGAAGAGGACAGAACCATGGACAAAGCTCTGAGTTCCTTGGAGCATGTGATAGGTATGACATCTCAGCAATGCTGTCTCTAAGGCTGTGGGAGCCCTGTGAGCAAAAATTCTACTTTGTGAGCGACCAGCATTAAAGCTGTGAGCGAGCTGATTTGGCTACTGCATCAATTTGTTTGCTCTGGAGCCCCTTCCTTCCTGAGCTAAGGCAAAAAATGTGTGAGCCGGAGGCTAAAAAAACCTGCAAGCTAGCTCACACTCACTCAGCTTAGAGGGAAAACTGTGTCTCCGTCAATGCTCCCTCTAAGCCGCAAAGTCTTGTGAGCAAAAATCCTGCTTTGTGAGCTGCTGGCATTGAAGTTGTGAGCGAGCGATTGGGCTGCTGCATAAATTCGTTTGCTCTGTAGCCCTCCTTCTTCAGCAAAGACAAAAATGTGAGCCGGAGGCTAAAAAACTGCAAGCTAGCTCACACTCACTCAGCTTAGAGGGAACACTGCGTCTCAGTACAGAAACACCCAAGTCCAGTGTTCCCTGTAAGCTGAGTTAGTGTGAGCTAGCTTGCAGTTTTTTAGCCTCCGGCTCACATTTTTGTCTTTGCTGAAGAAGGAGGGCTACAGAGCAAACGAATTTATGCAGCAGCCAAATCGCTCGCTCACAACTTTAATGCCAGGAGCTCACAAAGTAGGATTTTTGCTCACCAGACTCCACGGCTTAGAGGGAGCATCACCCATGTCCCCTCCATGGCTGGGACAAGCACCCCTAACCAATGGACGCACACATAGATCAGCGATACACCTGAGAACACGAGTTTGGGAGGAAAAAAAAGGAATACCTACACAGGACTTCTAATGCAGACCCAGGGTGACAACCAGTGTTCCCTCTAAGCTGAGTCAGTGTGAGCTAGCTTACAGTTCTTTAGCCTCCGGCTCACATATTTTTGCCTCAGCGCAGGAAGGATGGGGCTCCTGAGCAAACTAATTGACGCAGCAGCCAAATCTCTCGCTCACAACTTCAATGCCAGCAGCTCACAAAGTAGAAGTTTTGCTCACAAGACTCCACAGCTTAGAGGGAGCATTGGTGACAACTACGTATGCTAAGCTAGCACGACCCAGGGTTCACAGGGTGACGAGACACGGGAGAAACGCGCAGCCGCTAACTCGCTAACCAGATGCGATGGGGTGGGGTGGGGGGTGGGCTAAGACGCTTTACCCGCAACTGGTCCAGCTTCTCGCGGATCTGGATGAAGCCCAAGTGCAGCTTGCCTCCGAAGTGGTCGGCGAGGCGGCGGTCGTTGTCGTGGAGGCCGAGGTACGCGGAACAGACCTCGCACACCCGCAGCTTCTGCTGCTGGAAACTGGACGCGGGCATGGAATTGCGGTACTCCTCCTGTGGGGGGTCGGGGAGAGCAGAGGCAGCTATGCATCCACCTGCAGTGTCTTGCTCTGGAACGGCCAGGTCCGTGGACCCGAACAAAACAGTAAGGGGGGGGAAACCAAACAAACCTCTGCTTCTTTCTTCTTCGCGCGGACCTTCTCGACTTCCATCAGTATCTTCTGGGACTCGTCCACGTTCCCTTCGGCGCCCAGCTGCTCCGCCTTCGCCAGCAGTTTGCCGATGTCTTCATTGAGCTCGTGCACCTTCTCTGCCTACAGGGGAGGGGAGAGCCGTTTTCTTAGCACTTGGGCTGCAGCTCGCGCCTTTGCTCCGGAGAAGTGAGAAACTGAATGGCCTGGAGAATACAATCCCCCTCCCTCCAGGTTTTTGCGTTTTCCAAGGGGACGAAAGGTAACACATAAGAACGTAAGAGACACCCGTGTTGGATCAGGCCAAAGGCCCATCCAGTCCAACACTCTGTGTCACACAGTGGCACGAAATACCAGATGCCCTCAGGAGGTCCACCAGTGGGGCCAGGACACTAGAAGCCCTCCCACAGTTGACCCCCCCAAGCACCAAGAAGACAGAGCATCCCTTGCCCCAGACCGAGAGTTAAGAACATAAGAACATAAGAGACGCCAATGTTGGATCAGACCAAAGGCCCATCCAGTTCAACACTCTGTGTCACACAGTGGCCAGAAATACTAGGTGCCATCAGGAGGTCCAGCAGTGGGGCCAGGACACTAGAAGCCCTCCCACTGTTGCCCCCTCACAAGCACCAAGAATACAGAGCATCCCTTGCCCCAGACCAAGAGTTCCTATCAGAACATAAGGGAAGCCCATGTTGGATCAGGCCAATGGCCCATCCAGTCCAGCACTCTGTCACACAGTGGCCAAAAATACCAGGTGCCCTTAGGAGGTCCAGCAGTGGGGCCAGGGCACTAGAAGCCCTCCCACTGTCCCCACCCCCCAGGCACCAAGAAGACAGAGCATCACCTGCCCCAGACCGAGAGTTCCTT